CAGAATTACTTCTGGTACTAACAATGATGACAACAATAATAATAAAATGAAAATTAATTATTTCACTATACCATATATATCAGACTTATCTAATACTATTAAAAATTATTTTAAAGATTGTCCAACATTTAGAGTAGCTTATAAAAGTATCAACAACCTCAGTAATATAATCAAAGCACAAAAAGACAAATTACACACCATGCTACATACTGATATAGTTTATAAAATTTCATGCAAAGATTGTGATGCATCATATGTTGGACAAACTAGTAGAACACTCAAAACTAGAATATCCGAACACAGAAATCATATAAACCGCAACACACAACAAAATTCTGTCATTACCAATCATAGATTACAATTTTCTCATGATTTTAACTGGGACAATATTAAAATTCTAGACAAAGAAGTCTCTTTAAATAAAAGACTCATTTCGGAGATGATTTTTATTCGTCAACAAAAAAATAGTTTAAATTTACAAACTGACACAGAACTCCTTGACAAAACATATGATTGTTTACTTTCTCATTTTTGATTTCCATATTTTTAATGTTTTTAATTTTCTATAACAACGATTGTTAAATGTCACATTAGCACATGAACATTCGACCAGAACGATACAATCCGTTACTTCTAAATTATAACATGTAAGTGTTTTTGCATAAATATTCAAGCATCTTATAATCATAGCTAATTCATCAATCACTAATTGACTTTTACAACAATTTCATGAACTCACTTTTATATTATAATAACATTTATGCAGTCTCACACACACATCTCATACATTATTGTATTTATTAGTTATACTTTTATATTTATAATCATTTTTATCATCAGTCATAATATTCACATTTTATGTTACTTAATCATAACGTTTTTCTTAAGATATATTCATTCTTTCTAGTAATCTTAATATTTTACTTTATATTTCTTATTTTTCATTTTATAATTTGACTGACCTTGTTTCCTACTTTATTTTATTTGACAACAATTTTATACAAGCCGACATTACTCAATATATTAATTCTAATCATATAGTGTTCCAGGTAGCACAATGCTTATAATGTAATAGAAGTTCTTTGAAAAGGATCCAAACTGTGGATCGAAACGTAAGAAAATTTGTACATTCACAATAAATCAATTTATACACACATCAACATCCAGTGTTCAAGACTCGATTTGGCACGTCTCTTCCTTTGATTATTATCAATACGAGTCACTTGGTACCAACAATTTTTATAATTATTATTCTTTCTTGTTGTAAATAATTATAAATAGTTTTCATATATATATTATTCGATTCCTCGTTCTTCCCTCTCCTCTAAGGGAACCATCGGTAAATAAGTTAGGCATTTTGTTCTAGACGAGGTTAATGTGCTAACAATGCCCATCTTTACATACGGCAAATCTGCCCGATGAAGGATATACACCGAGGCGAGAGACGATCGGTGCTTCCGCTCGGCCCACTATCGCTCTTCGCGCTCTGATCGTTTCCCTCCTTTTCCCACAAATCCCTCCACTCATATTCAGAAACTGCTTTCTCGACCGTCACTCAATTCCGATCCCACACGCCGCTTTTGGAAACTCGCGATTTATAAAAGCGCTAAAAATTCCGGACGTAACAGTGACCTAGAAACAGTTCAAAATTCAAATCAGATAAACTTTCAAATAGAAGAGTTTTCATAACTTTTCGCTGATTTGGTTGATTTAGAAATTCACGCTCTTTTTCAAGTAATTTTTGAATGATAACGAATGCGTATGCTGCATACGTAAGAATATCTTCGTGTGGATAACATAATCCTCTTCGATTATTCGCATCTATTAAATTAGAAAACGCTATAGCCTCATCAGCTGTTAGAAAAACTTTGCGGTATTCGCATTTAAATTTTTTTATTGCTGAATACGCAGTGTATCCAGCTATATAGACCAGAAGTGGCCAAGTCTCCTTTTCAATCTGATCAATATCGTCGTCGTCAACAAAGCATATTTTTCTTAATAAATCGGGTATACTTCCTATTTGAACATTAAAATATCCAAAAATATCAATACATGTTTTAAAATTGTACGGTAACAAAATACAACAAATTACATGGAATTATATGTATTGTTATATTTGACAGACATTTCTGTAATCCTTTGTTTTTCTATAGATATTCTAGATACTCTATGTAGCGCTTTGCGTATGCGGTTACGTCTACCCGCTACTGGTAGATGTACCGACCGGCCGTCGCTGTCGGCCTCTGTCGGTGCGGCGCCAGGGATCGCAAGAGAGAAGTTGAAGTCGTGACTCTGTATATAGTTTATGTACAAGGTTTATTACTGCTATGTACAGTTATATACAATGTGGTGAACTTTGGTACTTTGTGGTGGCCCTGAAAAGGGCCGTTTGGTTTGCCCCCTCACTTAGAGGGACTGTGCTCCTTGTATGCGAGCGGCGGCTGCGTGCTTGTCCACTGGGTGGTTCGACGCTTTTCTGTGACTCGCTCTCGGTAGATGAGCGAGGGCTGCGTCAGAGTCTTCTTTTCAGGGCCCCAGTAGTTGCCGTTTATGTCCTCGGATTTGCGGTTCGTCGTTTCCGGGTTGGAGGTCTCCCACTCTGAACCAGAGGACAGCTCCTGTTGCCTCGTTGGTGGAGGCGCCTGTTGGTACCTCGGCGAGGTGTACCGGCGTACCCGCAGGTCCCACGGGTGTAGGCAATACCGCGGTGGCCTGGTCCTAGCAGGCGGCGGGATGTCTAGCCGCTCTAGCTTCCAGGTGGCAAGCTGGAGGGTCACCTTTCGTGCAGCGGTTGGTTGCGGTCTGTGCGGAACGGCCGGCGGCGTCGTGGGAGGCGTCGGCAGTGTCGGCGACCCTGGCGGAGGCTGCGGTGAATGCCCCCTTTGATGTTGCTGCCTTGGCTGGCGCCGGAACAGTCCTGTGGCCTCTACCGGCCGAATCCTAGGGCCGCTGTTTGTAGTTGGCGGCGGCGCAGGAGCTGCTGGCGCAGACGCTGGATAAGCGAGGTCCCTCTCTGGCGGGCTGGTGGCTGCAGCTGCTGCTGCGGAGGCTGTGATGGCCTCTGCGGTGGAGGCTGCGGAGGCTGTGATGGCCTCTGCGGTGGAGGCTGCGCTGGCTGCTGTGGCTGCTGCGGCTGCGGCGGCTGCTGCTGCGGAGGCTGCGGCGTCTGCCGCTGCGGAGGCTGTGATGGCCTCTGCTGTGGAGGCTGCGCTGGCTGCTGTTGCTGCTGCGGCGGAGGCTGCGGCGGAGGCTGCGGTGGCTGCTGCTGATGAGGCTGCGGTGGCGGTTGTAGCTGCAATGGCTGCGCTTTGTCAAGAGACCGTAGCTGAGGTAAAAACTGCTTGGAGGTATAGCCCTGCATGCCACAGCTCGGTGGTGGTTGATCGGTTCGGCGCCTTATCTATAAGGGCCCTGGACCGATTCTTCGCACGCAATAACATTATCGGCGCTAGCCCTCTGGTGGGCGTACCGCGGTAGTTGCGCGTCGCGCGGCACTTGCGCGCGGTCGAGTGTTACGGGCGCTTGTATGGTCGAGTGCTACAGGCGCTTGGATGTTCCCACCGAGCGCTTAACGAAAGGTAGCTGCTTGGTGGGTTTTCGTTAGTGCGACTGATAAGAGTCGCCACACTCTACATTGTAGTAAATAATTAAAAATAGAAAAATGACATAGTATAAAAATTTAATATCTTATTGTATAAGTAGTTATTTTAGTTATTAAATAAAAGTAGTTATTCTATATTTTATACGATTAAGTAGTTAAATATTTTGTTTTTCTGTACAGATTTTAGATATTACAATTATGTCTGAAATATATGTGCTATAGTATACAAATCAGAGATCGAAAATAACAATCGAAACGACATCAAAACGATGTCTTTTTAAGAAACTATTTCTGACTGGGATTAAGTACGCTATTTCTGTCGTATACACTAATCTTCATTGAGGAGTTTTTCCAATAACATGATTCTAGATACGATAACCGTTAAAGTCACGTTATCCTTTTCTTTATTACTTAAGAAGAAGATAATCTGACGTTTATATTAAATAAACTATTTCCATCGTATTTTCTAATTTTCATTAAAATGCTTTGTTACGTCCGGCGCTCATTTCTCGGCTCAATTTTCGCCCCTGAGATTTATATCTCTTTCCCACCTACTGTTATCGCGCCGTACGTTTTCGCGAGTACCTGCATTAACTCTAAGTAGCGCCGCACTTACGCGAGGGCACCACCTCCCGGGCGCCTCACGCCGATTAATTAATTATTAAAATCCGCGGATTCGTTGATGCCACGATACAATTAAGAGCATAACGATTTTGGTTAGCGCATCCCGCGCAGAACTATACCGTGGTATCTCCATTAAAACCACCCTTTTTACCAAAATCATTCATACATCAGACAAGCGTAATGAGAATACGAATTTACTGCGCATCGCGCGATACTCGCTGATCCGCGTTGACAGATAGGGCGAAAACCTATTTAGAAAAACTAAAGTCCGGTATGCGGCCTTATCACGGCGCCTCCGCGCTCGCTAACGAAAATCCGACTCGATATAATGTTTTGCGTAAATTCGAACTAAAATGATACCAAGTATCAGAGCAATGCGCTCATCAAGTACCGAGATATTAATTATTCGCAAAAGTGATTTATTGCCCTTTTTTCCTGGAAATTCGGCATTTCCACACGCCGCGGCCACCAAGCTGGCCCTATATAATCGAGCGGAACAGAGCGCTCTCGTTCATTATTGTTCTATTTCTGATAGTACTATAAGGTTCTCCGTGAGTAAGATTATAGAGTAAAATTGTAATTCATAGTGCGACAAATCCGTATTGGAATATATCTTGACGGCGTAAAACCGATCGCGAGACATTCTCGAAACATATTGTTAAGAGCCGGGATAATAATTACGCGAGCGTAAGTGTATAAATTAACAAATTAATTGTATAATCATAGTAGTGTGCGCTCCGCCGTGTTCGACAATAATTCAATCTAGTGTTCCGCGGTCGTATTATACGTAGTGCATAAACTAAAAATTTATTCGAACCGGTATCAAGCTTTTATTATTTATTTTCATATTCTTGAGTTTTGTTCTTTCTTTTCTTTTCACCGGATAATTAATTCACGTACTCGCGGGTCTCTTTCTCTCGTTATTTTTCAATTATTCATTTTCAGCGTTAATATATATAAAGATATATATATATTCATATAAAGTGAACAATGATGGACCATCGTTTTTTTTGTGTGTGTTGTGCCGTCCAGTTGGTTTCTTTCGTCCCCCAGTGAGTAGCATTTTTCCACTCAACGATTTGCAAGCAAGCGGAGTTTGAGCGCTGCCACATTCAGTAGCTCGATTCCGTGCCCCCTTTTTTTTTTATGCTGCTCACTGGTCGCCGCGATTGAAATATCCACCGATTCTGGAGTTGCGATCTCGCCCGATTTTAGTTCTAACTCTCCCCCTTTTTCTCTCGACAATAATGTTATTCTCGCATCCGACAGGTTATGCGTCGCATCCGACGAGGGCGTAGAGCAGGGCAAAACACCCAGCAAAAGAGACTTTGGTGGGAGCTCACCCAACGCGGGGAGTTTGACCCGTCCGGGGTCTTCCCTCGGGAGACGCACCCTCCAGATCCTCCGAGAGCTATCACTGAGCCGATCGTCGGCTCTGCTCCTCGGCCTCCTCGGCCTCGCGCACCGGCTCCTGCCGCGACCGCGATTCGCCCGGCGGCTCCGGACGCCGACAGCTACGTGCCAACCAGGAAGCCTACCCGGCCGCTGCCGGTATCACGCCAGGCCCCGGCCTCGACGTACAGGCTTGCCCCTCCACCCACGCCGCCTGTTATAGAGAAGCCGCGCGTCCGAAGCATTGCCGCGGTGCCAAGGAACCGGCGGTTCCTCAAGATTTTGGTCCTGAGTGGCGACGCGTCAAAACTAGCCATCGCACGGACGACCACTGTCCCGTGGTGGTAGAAGGATCACCCTCTTTTCCCTCGTTATATATATATATATATATATATATATATACATAGGTGAACTTGAATGTATTGAGTCTGTCGATGCTACAACTCAAGTAGGTAAAACATAAAATAAATTTTAATTATTTTTTCAATATATTAAAAAAACTGTTCACATTTTTCAGATGAATCAATGAGTTATCAAGATTCCCAAAGCGCAGGCACTTTCAGCCAACAAAGTGTTGAAACTGATTCAAGTCACGAATTAGCAATGGTTGGAGGACCTCCCGAAATAAAAAAATTTCGCGGACGAGTAAATTTCATTACAACAAAAATTGCCGTTGCACTCGATAAATGTAAAATTAGTAACCGAAATGCTATTCATCTTGCTGCAGCGTTTGCGGAGACATTTGGCGTTGATAGAAATTTACTGATTTTAAACAAATCTTCTGTTCACGAAAAAAGGAAGGAAATGCGTGAAGAAAGAGCAAAGGCAATTAAAGAAGTTGTGAAAATCTATTTGAAAATCTATTGGATGAATCTAACAACAGAGACTCTTTCTAAGCTTTAGTTCTTGCTTGATTGCAAATTTCTATTTTCTATTACTACGACTTGTCCTTGCAACCATACTTAGGACCCGTTGCGACTTCCGACTTAAACATACTAATGAAAAGTTCTTGTAATGATTTTTCATTCTACGAACAACAGATTTTGCAAATCATCAGTGAATACCGAAAAGTGTAGCCCAGTGCAAAAAAATCGACACTAATAGCAGAAAACAAAACTTATCAATAGAAAAGTGATGTTAATTGTAAAAAATAAAATGAATAAAAAATATGTCAGAAATTGCAACAAATTAAGATTACTTAATGTAATTCACAATTTTCAATTTCGAAATTTTTTGTCATATCAAAGAATTAATATCACAAACAACATAAAATTGCCAAATTTGAAATAAAAAAAATTGCTGGTAACGAAAAGTGCACGGGACAATTAATAAGAAAGATATTTATCAGCTTGCAGATTTCTCGCGTTCGAAGAAGAGCAATATTAAAGGGACCGTATGGCGTCCAGAAATTTTTTTTCAATGACGACAGGTATGGCTTTCGAAAGGAAAAAACGTAAGGAATATGATCGTATTTCGTGCAATAACTTACGATTTTTTTCTCTCGAGTTATAGCGAATAAACTAAACCTTCATTTCCTTCACCTGATTTTAGTAAAAAAAACTTCTTCATAAAAACTGCGGTAATTCGGCTACAAATTATCGTTTTTAACTTGTAAGGTGGTCATTTTAATCGCAAAACTATAAGGAATGTGAAATTCAATGGTTCATGATTTTAAAATGCATTCTAACAGAGCTACTGTAATTTTATTGAGAGATTTTAGGCTCTTCTCATTTTTTGGGTGAAAAATTATTGAAGTTCAAAGTGGAATAACTCGGCCGGAAATTGATCGATTTTGTTCCGCCTAGGCTCATTTCACGTGGAAAACATTCAAGAAAAGATATCTCACTTGCTGGATTTTTAGACTGACTGCGGTGGAAATGCCCGAAGAAATACTAAAAAAATGTTTTTTCCCATAAGATTTACGGGTTAATTTTCAACATCGATGAGCCTCCACTTAGAATCATCGTAGGAACTTTTTATTAGCGCCAAAATTTTTGTTATTTTTTTTACTAAAAAGTTAGGGGGGTCCCGTACAAATTTCGAAAATCGCCAAAATAACGGACACCCTAATATATATATATATATATATATATATGTATGTGTATATAGAGGCGATGCCGCCTCGGTTATTGTTATGATTATTAATTATATTACCGCGCATAATTTACATTTTGCTTTTATGCCATCACGAGGGTTACCTCGTTCTCAGCTCTTCTAGCAGCCTCGTTAATATGTATTTCGTTCTCGTTTTTCTTATTATTCTTTCTTGTTGTAATAATTATAAATAGTTTTTCATATATATATTATTCGATTCCTCGTTCTTCCCTCTCCTCTAAGGGAACCATCGGTAAATAAGTTACGCATTTTGTGCTGTACGAGGTTAATGTGCTAACAATGCCCATCTTTACATGCGGCAAATCCGCCCGATGAAGGATATACACCGAGGCGAGAGACGATCGGTGCTTCCGCTCGGCCCACTATCGCTCTGATCGTTTCCCTCCTTTTCCCACAAATCCCTCCACTCATATTCAGAAACTGCTTTCTCGACCGTCACTCAATTCCGATCCCACACCCCGCGTTCGGAAATTCGCGATTTATAAACACGCGAAAAATCCCGGACGTAACATGCTTATAATCAGTATTATATTTTAATTTAACACTGTTAAATACGATTTATAGTAAAAAATTTTCAAACCAGAGTTGACAAATCCTTCATCATCTTCGCTACTTTCTAAAAGCGATGA